TCAAAAATTACCCTTTGACTATGATTTTTTCAAACAATTTTTACACGTTCTATGTTCATGAATTCTGACTTAGAATTATTTCTGAACATGTAAATTTTACATAGAAACTTAAGGAACAGTTCTTTTTCATACCGCATCACTTTTTCTGGATCGAGGCAGTAGTATTGATTTGTATATAACAACATATTACTTGCATCAAGATGATGCTGGAAAGATTTTTAGTAGAATTTGTTTTAAATGGACCCAACGAAAATGTACTCATTCACAAATATAGGTAAATTATTAAGAAGTTAGGAAACTACCAAATTGTAGTGAAAACATAGAGATGGAAAAGATATGCAGGGTAGTCAAGATCATATAGAGGAAATTTAATACACAATGAGCTCACCTGACAAGGATCTCTTCCTCCATTCAAATCCGTATCTTCTGTAGAACACCATGGAAGCTTTAGTAACTCGGATTCGAGCTCAGCTTCCAGCTGATCCATTTCCATAACCTCAGGTTGTAGCTCTTCTGTAACGACACTGCTTGCACATTCACCTTCCTCAGCCACTTGGAGATCTAGTGCTCTATAAATATTCCTGTTTTCATTGTTACTCTCAGCAATTGCATGTATTCTACATTCTCTATTATTCTTTTCATCTATGTCGCCTTCATTCTTCGAAGCACACAGGTTATGTGCAACTCTTTTCCTAGAAAGTTCAGCTTTTAATTCCTCTACAGCTTTTGCAGTTTCATCCATGGTAGTGTTAAGCCTATTGATCTCAGATTTCCCAGCTGACATCATGCACATCATTCCAATTCCGAGTCCATAACCAAAAAATGAATTCCCTGGAAGATGTAAAGCACATTAAGAAAGGGAATCTAAAAAAAATGCATAGGGCAGCAAATGATATATAGGTTCACGGTTCACCCAGTGTTATCAAAGGCGCGCTTAAGCCCTGAAGCGAGGCTCAAAATATTTTGAGCGCTTCGCCTGGCTTTATGTGCGCTTCAGTGTCTTCATGAAGGTTCTAAGACATACTTTTCCTTGCCAATGAGCAGAAGTGACACTAAACAATTGATATGTCACTTTATCATAATTTTTTTTAAAAATTTCTTTGGTCATATATTTGTCATTCATGTTTATAATTATTAGACTTGGACTAAACATATATATTTGTGGTTTTTTCTCCCTTTGCGCCTTTTTTCATTAAAGCCCACACTTTATTTGCGTTTTGCGCTTAAAGCCCCCACGGACCTTAGAGCCTTTTTGCACTTTTCGCCTTTGATAACACTGGGCTCACCTACTTGGAGCAACTTAATATAAGAGATAATATTCACTCCAATAAGACTATCAAAGTAACATACACAAGTAGAAAATTTAGAACTAAACAGGAAGAGTAACTATTCTTTTACGTCATCAAGTCCAACCAATAAGATAGTAGTAGTATGCATCGAGCTTATTTAAACTGTTGTTTCTTTTACATTGATCATCTTAACTATTTCCGCTGTCAATATTCTTCTTTTCTATGATATTTTCATCTCAGCTTCTTTATTCTTGTATTTTCCAAACCTGTTTTGTAAAATGTTTTTTCTTGAACCGAGGGTTTATTGGAAACCACCTCTCTACCCCTCAAAGGTAGGGGTAAGGTCTATATATACCTCACTTGTGGAAACACACTAGGTATGATATTGTTGTTGTTGTAGTTTGCATCGAGCCATGACAGGATACCAGCTGACCAGAGAAAGTAAATACAGTGATGAAAGACAGTTCCATAAGTGGCATTCTATACTAATTGTCTCGTTCCCACCCTTCAATGCACCCATCCCCACTCTTCCCCCATAGCCCCCATCCCTACCACCCCAGACCCCGTCCGACAACCCCATCTGCTATATTGTTTGCCTAAATTACATATAAATGACTTGTGATGATATATTTGCTTACTTACCAAGCACAAAAGACTAGTAAGCAGACTGCTTATTTTCCAAGAAAACATTTTCCTTCGTACCAAACGCACCCTAAGATACTCTTTTTTTTATCAACACAACAGTTTTCTGTAAAAATTACCAAAAGACTTAAACAGTATAAAGCTCTCTTTCAATTAGCAATCTGAAAATCCCAAAAGCGAATCCAAATGGAAGCATACTTGTTCCGCACATTCATTGGTATAAGTAAACCTAGCAATTTTTGACAAGATATGGTTTTGCTCTCAACATGAGAGAGCTAATGTTTTGGAGCTTTATACTTATTGGGATCTGGCATCTTACTGCTTAATTCCACAATCAGGTGAAAAGTTGTTTTGATTCCACCAGCAGTTGACCGAGCTATTTAACAGGAAAAAGAAATGGTGTCTGGTTATTGAATCAAAATGCAGATTATCATCTTCTCTATGGTACTATTGGTCAGACTCATTTAACACAGGACACGAGAAAACCTCGCCAACCCCATTCAAAAGAAAAATTAAGACATAGAAGATGAATAGGAGAGTAGATCACATAGCTAAAACATAAATTGAACATTTAGTGAATTTAATATATTGCAAAAGTAACATTATCGGTATATATGATGACTATGCTAAACAATGTACAAAAGCTACTCTGCTGATGCACCATTGCACTAGTGTAACTCTTCTCTCAAAATTTTGCTAAAGGTAAATAAATAGTCATACTACTTGAAGCCACCATTCTTTAGCTTCAGGCCCCACACCTTTGAACGCGATTAATATAGGACGGTTGAAAACCTCTCCATCTGATTATGGAAGTTGTAATTCCAATTTGAGTTTTTCACATCTCTTTTTATTGGTTTCCAACCTAGTGTCCGGTACCTACATTAGAGCCCCCGAGTAAATCTGGATTCCATCCGAAAAGTCCCACATTGGGGGTAAAGCGCTCCCTAACAAAGGCGACTCCATACCTATGCAAGACTAATTTTCTACTTACATTCCATAACAAACACAATTATCAACCAACACATTCAAAATTAGAGTGTCATGATGTTTCTATGAACAAACGATAGTGGACTTGAGAGCAACATTAGCTAAATGAGAAATTGTGATCCACAATTAAATTGAAACACAGTCCCTACCAAAGCATACTATTGCATTAAAGTGACAGAAAAGAAAATGTACAATATATATATATAATATTTTAGAAAGTTTACCTTTGGAAGCACAAGAATCACATTTCCCTGAAGGAACTTTATTAGTTCTCCTCTTCTTTAAACAAACATAAAATCTCTTCCCATTCCTTCTCTTCCTCTGATCCAACCTAACCAATTCCTTTTCACCACTCCTCACATTTCCACATTTTCCCCCTAATTTCCCACCACTTTTTCCCTTCCACTCCATCACATTCCCTTTGGTCTTTCTAGAACCTTCCACATTTTTCTTCCTCAATTTCCTAAACCCCATTTCAGAACCAGAAGCACTTGAAAACCTAAAAATTGACCCATCAAAAAACCCCTCACACTTTTCTTGAATGTTACAGCCAAGATTACATACAAAGCTTGAATCTTTATGCTGAAAGGGAGTGTTAAGCCCTTCTGGATCAAAGGGTTTATCAAAATTACTGATAAAGATTGAATCTTTATGCCCTTGTGGGTTAAAGGGTTTATCACATATACTGGTAAAGATTGAATCTTTATGCTGAAAGGAAGTCATAAACTCTTCTGGATCATTGAGTTTATCACATTTACTGTCACTTGCAGTGGAACCAGAGATGGGTTCAGTGGCATTTTGGTTAAAGATTTTCTTGGCTAAAAAACCAGATCCTGCTGCTGCTGCAACTACTAAAGCTGGCCACATTTGGGTGTTTTTTTCTCTCAAGATTTTAGACAAGGGGTTTAAGATTTTGAACAAAATCAGAAACTAGAGAGATCACATTCAAAAATTGCTAGTAAATGTTGTTGCAGTTCATAATAATAACCAAGTGAAAGTGACAAGCTTTGAATTTTGTCTATGTGACATGTGGTGGGGGCTGGGGGTGGGGGTATACGTGGCTTCTCATATAAAGTTTGCTCACGTGCTTCCCGCTTACTTATAATTTTTTCAATTTTTTGTGGTCTTTGGTCTTTTAAGAAGGCCTAAAGATGGAGATTTTGGGCCAATTTACAAAGGCCTAACCCATCGGTGGCCCCCTAAACTTGGCACGATCTTTCACTTAGACACCTCAACTGAAGGATTTTCATTTTAAACACCTAACGTAGGGTTCCCATGTGTTACTTTAACACTTTTTACACAGACATCTGTTGACTATAAGCGCGTGCAAGACAACCGTTCTACGTGGATTAACTGACCAATTATATGATGCCAACTCTTAAACCTCTTTACACGTCGTTTTTTTTCAAACTAAAAGAAAAATGGAACCATTTTTGTGATTTTTCAACTTCCTTCTTACGATTCTCTCTCTTCTCCGAGAAAACCCTAGGTAAATCTCCCTTCTCGTCACATGTATTTCTTTGTTTTTTCTTCAATTCGTTGTTAGTAATAACCATTGTTGTATTTTATGTCGCCATTTTTCAGGTTTAAGGTTGTATTGACGAGGTATCGGGCTGTGCGACATTGGAGAAATTGAAGAAATTAAAGGTAATGGTGTGTTTTGTTTTCTACCTTTGTTTTTGTTTTCTTCAAGAAGGTGTATATTGTTGTTGAAGGTGTATATTGTTGTTGATTCCACTTTTTTTATTTTCAGTTTTAATATAGGTTTTGGCTGGTAAAGTAAGGGGCTTTTTGGGTATTTCCTTTTATTGGGGTCTTCTTTTCGAGATATGGACAGCTATATTTTAACTTGTTTTCATCATGGGGGGTGTGTTGTTGGAAACCCTAACCCTACTTACCAACGAGAAGTAGATGTATTTGGTGTTGGCATAGATAAAGACCATTTTAGTCTTGTCGAGTTTCTTTCCTACACTAAAGACCTTGGGTATACAAATGTGAAGGGATTTTACTGTGAAGATAACAATGAATTAGTTCAAGTTACTTCTGATACTCAATTGTTAGAATTTGTGAAAGACTTGGTAGATGGTGATGACTGTTGATGAATCTGTGGGTATAAATACTGAGGGAACTGTGGAGAATGATTCTGATTTGAATGGAGTTGATACAGAATTGCCTGGAGGTGATACAAATCAAAATGAAGTTGAATCAGATCTGCCTAGTAGTGACACAGATGTAGATGTTATTCCAGATGAAGATGATTCAGATGTTGATGAAGAATTGAGATCCCTTAGGGCTGAAAGGAGAAACAAAAGAAATCCTAATCTTAGGAAGAAAAGAGATAGGGAGAAGAAAACAATAACTAAAGAGGTACCAATAGGTGAGGCTGGTGTGGATAGAGGTTTTGAAGATATTGGAATAAATAAAAAGGATAGATATGTTGGCAGATTGGGAGGAGATGAGAAGTATATTGATATCTCAGAATGTGATAGTGATGATAGCACTGATATACTAGATGCAGAAGCTGTTGGAGGTGTTGATCTACCAGGCAGAAGAAAGAGCAAAAAGGTCAGGTATGATGATCAATGTACTGTTGCTATTTTTGAACTTGGAATGATTTTTGAGAATGCTAAGGAATTTAGAAAGGCTTTGGCAAAATATGCTGTTGAAAAAAATTATCAGATTAAGTTAAGGCCTAATGAAGCTCATAGAGTGAGAGCTAAATGTAAATTCAAAGAAAAATGCAAATGGTTGTGCTATGGTGCTATTGATAGGGATTCTGGTAACTTTATGATTAAAAATTATTATCCTATACACAAGTGTTTACCTTCAAATAAGAACAAAATGTGTACAACTAAGTTCCTAGCAAGTAGATTCAAGGATGAAATAACTAAACAACCATCTTTGAGGATTTGGGAAATACAAGAATTGTGCAGGGAGGAGTTAGGACTAAAAGTGGGTAGAACAATTTGTTACAAAGCAAAGATGATGATTCTTAGAGAAAACATGGGTGACTGGAATATGGAATTTGCAAGGTTATGTGATTATGCTGAAGTCATAAAACAAACCAATCCTGGTAGTTCTGTTTGGGTAAGGATGGATAGAGAAACTATACCAGGAAAGAATTTGTTTGTGTACTTCTATGTATGCTTGGATGCATTGAAGAAAGGGTGGAAGGAAGGATGTAGAAGAATAATAGGATTTGATGGATGTTTCTTAAAGGGTGCTTGTAAGGGTGAACTTCTTGTAGCAGTTGGAAGAAATGGAAACAATCAGATGTTTCCTATAGCCTGGGCAGTTATGGACAAGGAGACTAAACATTGCTGGAGTTTCTTTATCAACTACTTGAAAGAGGACCTGCAGTTGGGTACTGGACAGGGTCTTACTGTAATGTCAGATATGCAGAAGGTAATTGTCTATTACTTTGATAATTGTAGATATGCAGAAATGTATTTTCTTTCTTGAATTGTATTGAATTCTATTTTATTGTAGGGTCTTCAAGCAGCTGTTGGTGAACTGCTGCCAAATGCTGAAGTTAGAATGTGTGCTAGACACATCTGGTCTAATTGGAGTAAAAGATGGAAGGGAGAGGAAAGGAGAAAACAATTCTGGAGATGTTC